CCGCGACCTTAACCATTTGGCCATTTCATAGAAGTTGCTTTTCGCTGTTCGTATTAAGGAGATAACAAAACCATTAACTCTACTGTACAAAATGTTTCTGCATATGCTTCTTGACTAAAACACTACGATGGTGCATCACGTAGCACAATACACATACAAAGAAACAATGGCCGTCAACATCAAAGGTTCTCCCTGACAGCTTCTCCTTTAGTAGTTTGGATGCGCGCATTAATATGGGCAAGTCCCTGGACCACGTCAGGACACCAGTCTAGCTACACGCACGAACTCTTTCATAAAATTGTGTTAATAACACGCCATTTATTATCCTTTTTTGGGGGGTTGCTTCTTTCGTTTTCTTTACTTATACAAAATGACAGCCGAAGGTTGAATCAGGACCCCAATAGCTCTGCTAAATAACGTTATGTGATGTGGTGGATCTGATCTGTGGTGTAGTTCTTCAGACACATTCCCCTGCCTTGTGAATGGTGCCTCTTACAGGAAATTCCTTCTCTATAAAGATGAAGTTGAAAAGTGAGCACTTTTCCCGTCAAGTTATAATTCATTTTAAAATGTGGACCTTAAAGTTGTCGTATTTTCAGTTGTGTGAAGTGTTATTGTGAATACATCAGTGCGCTTCTTCCTATCAATACTATCTTGCATCTAGGGTTTCACCAGGGGTAGCAATACAGTTGTGCCCATGAAGATGGAAGTTCTCGTAGCATGAAGATAAAAAAGGCAAGAAAACACCCTTTGAAAATCCTGAAACAAAGTTGACAGTAAGGTTAAGTTAGACAGAAAGGTGCTCTTTGACGGTTTACTTTAAAAGAAATTGTTGTGGCTATCCTTTAAATAAGAAGTTGCAAATTCAGATTGTCAAAATGCAACTTGATGCAAGATAGGTTGTCACTGAATGTTCAAATTTTATAAATCACATGATCACGTCTTCGTTCATGCCATTTCATGACAGTCTAGTCTGAGTACAAGCCAGTGTTGGAGCAAAGGTTTTGATTCTCAAGGCCAAGACTTTGACCCACAATCCTTGCGTCCAAGACTTAACCCTGAAGGTCAAGGCCCTGCAGTGTAAAGTTACTACTACCACAAAATGCCATATTTTGTAGACCGTTTGAGTGCATACCAAATAATTGCAAATTGGCCTGTGCAAGCAGTTTTCGGCCTATTTATACTGGCCTGCATCCTTTAGTACCCCCCCCAACAAAAAAAACTTAAGCAAATTGGAAATGTTTGTCTCTCATCCAGGTTATGGGCCTATTCATTCATTCATTCATTCCAATTGGTTTATTAATAATCATGCCTCGTAGCATCAGCTGAATTGAACATGATTTACAAAGTTTAAAACATCACAAACTATAAACTATTAAACATTATAAAAAAAATAAAAAAAATTACATTACAAACCAAATTACAGAGAAAACATCTTATATAGACACAAATAAGAAAAAACCGTTCATGGTTAAAAATGTAAATTTACAAATGAGTTGATTAAAATGCCAGTACACATGTAACCAAAATTCAGCTTAAAATGGGCAAAACAAAAAAGGCCCATTTAAAAATAGTAAAAACAACCAAATATGCAAACAAATCATTAAATATTAGAAGTGTTTAATAAGCGAATGAGATAAGGGATGGCACTCTTCTGCATGCAATTTGTTTTACATGGCAGTTCTGTATATCTTCGTCTGTTACTTCTAGAAGGCCTAGTATTCGTAGTTTCAGGGGGAAGAAATTGCCTAAATTGATTGGTGTTCTTTAAGGTTTTGTCAATGAAAGAAACACATAAGGAGACCCTACGAGCCTCCAGGGAAACCAAATTAACCACAGATAAAACGTCTTCATATGTAGTGTGCTCGTTTTTGCACTCTCTCAAGGCTTGATTTGTCGTATTTGGTAAGCGCACCACTCCACACAGGTGCTGCATATTCAGTAACAGGCCTAACAAAGCTAGTATATATTGTCATTAAATCCTGTCATGGAAGACCGTGGCGTTTTAAGACTCGTAACATATGAATTCTACTATTGGCTTTCTTTGTCATACTTTGCACTTGTTTGGTCCATTTAAGATCACTTTGAACAATGATACCTAACAATTTAGCTTCATTCACAGTCATAAGATCGTGGTCTGCAATACGCAATATTGGGAAATCAGGAGGGTTACGCGTAAACGATATTTCCATTTTCAAACATTTGGCTGGGTTCAGTTTCATTTGTTTTTGTTCACACCAGTTCACCAGTTCATTAAGTGTACTCTGCATATTGGATGGCTTTGCAGAATTCCTGCATTCTACAATTGACATGTCATCCACGTATTTGAACATAGAAACATCGTCAGAGTTCACTGGTTTAATGCTGTTTATCATGGTAAGAAATATGACTGGTCCTACCTTAGTCCCTTGTGGAACACCTGCATGAAGGTTTGCCCACTTCGAGTACGCTGAATGATATCTCACACACTGTTGGCGGCCGCTCAGGAAGTCCGCAATCCAATGAATCAGTGCGGGCCGGACGTCTAGATCGAGCAAATTTCTAATAGCTACTGTATGGGCAATTCTGTCAAAGGCTTTTGTGAAGTCAGTAAGAACTATTGTAGATGCTGATTTGGGTTTCTCGGCGTTGGAGTAGAGGAGGTGAAGCATGTTGATAAGGTAATGATTAGTGGATAGACCACGACGATTGCCAAACTGATTGGGGTCCAAGCTCGGTATAACATCATGAAGTAGCCATTTGGTGATGAATCCCTCTGCTACTTTAGCAAAGTGACTTGTGAGAGAGATCGGTCTCAGCTTATCAATTGTGGGGGGACTAGATTTGGGGACTGGAACAACAACAGCTTTTTTCCAGTCGTATGGAACCTGCGATTGTTGGAATGAAGTGTTGATAATGTGGGCCAGGGGGGTAGCTAACTCAACAGAAAACAAATGAATGAAGCGAGCTGAGATTTCATCAGGTCCGCTGGCCGAGGTTTTCCGCACTTTTTCAAGTGCTTTTTGTACTTCCCAAGGAGACACGATGGGGCATGGTTTCTGTGCAGGGAGATAAGCCGGTAACTGGTGGAGGTCCAAAGGGTCAAGGTCAGCCGCTGTCGAGGTAAAGTGATCGTTGATAGCATTAGCAACTGCAGTATCGTCATACAAATTCAAACCAGGGACTTGAATAGGTATGGGATCTTTCGCATCCCCAGTGATGGTGCGAATCTGACGAAACCAGGCAGATGGGTTTGACTGTTTGAGTTTTTGCACACGAGTTGAATAGTGTTGTTTCTTCGCTA